CGTGATATTGCCAAGTCGCTGGTTTACGAGAGAGATCCTCGTGTATTTCTTTAGACGTCTGACTGCTTCTTGCGCATAAAATGATGTTGAAGCTCACTATCTTTCGCTGAACATGGCAAGGTGTCGTTCATTGTGTCCCGTCATTCTTCTCGTACTTTCGGACGCGTGAACATTAGAACATAGACACGATGTATGTATGTAGGTATGAGAATACGAAGTTGAGGGCAAGATCCTTTATGTGACAAGCTTCCTCGGTACACAAGCTGGCTGTAATAGCACTCCTTCTTGTGAGCATCTCCAGCGTGTTCTTTCTTGTGACCTCATATGTCTGTTTAGCAAGCTAGAGGGTGTTCCTAGACCAGAAGACCAGCCAGTCGCGTCTACTTGACTAAGCGAAAAGTGCGCATGGATCAACTAGGAGGCTTCATTTGGGGCCTCCCCATTGCTGTTGGCGGCGAATGCATCCCGGTGAGCCTTTGGGCGCTGCGGGATTTGAAAGTTCCTAATGTGTTTATGTTCTAGAGGTACTGACATCCAGGAAGACTGCGTGTGTTCATAGCTGCTGCCATTTCAGTGTAAAAATTTGGCATTTTTTGATGATTTTGGGTATACAAGTTGATTGAGTATACAACCTTCCTAGTTGCGCCAGAATATTAGGCTCAAGTGTATTTTTCGGTACAGAAAAGTCTGGAAATATCTCTTCGTAGCGAGCACGATAATTCTGGACATCTCCTCAGACGAAAGTAAACTTTTGCCCGGACTCGGCGGTCTAGGTTCACAGTCTTTTTTTGCGGTATTCAAAAAGATTACTGGTGGACGAAAGATATCCTTTATCAGTCTCGTATAAAAGGTGGCTAAAAACAAAATTCATGAACAATTTTGTTTTACCCTTTTTATTTCACTAAATGGTGCAGCACTCCCCAAGCACTGACGAGAGGCAAAGAGAGGAAAGGACTCGAGCCTCCTAGTAGATAGTCGCTTGATGAATAAGACTACCTTACGTTAGGACAAGGGTAACACGAGAGGGGCCTTTGGTAGCACGCTGGGGTTATCGACCGAACGCCGGAGCCGAGACCGGCTGCGGGGCCGCGTCTGAGCATCAACCGCCGGCCCGGAGTTCCGTGCAATGTCACGTACTCATACCGTCAAAGTCAGTCCGTCTCTCCCATGAGACTCATGAATAGAGCAGCAATTGTGAAACGTGGTAAAGCTTCACAAATACCTTAGTATGCAAACGCATCGCTTCAGAGTGGGAATTGAGTGCTTTTGCGCAAGTTGTAACGAAACACATCAGCGCCCATTAGTGGAACCCGCCGGCCGGTCATGGATGGGTGCTGAGAGGCCGTAGAGGTGCGCAAAACATGAACCCTTCTCTTTCCCCGCGCCGGATGCCGGTCGCTCGGCCGGCATCTATTCCTCCGAGGCGCCCTTCCGAGTACATCAGCAACCCCAAGTCTCTCGACAACCCATTCTTGGAAAGCCAAGCTGATTCGGACTTTTTGTGAGATAGTTCACCATCAACCAGGCTTTCGTTTCCCAAAAACCACGCTTACGCAAACAAACACGAATGACCTGCACCACATCCCCCAAAGGCGCGATGCTCTCGCCCCGCGCCGCCAAAACCGCCTCGGCCCTCCATCGGCCGTGGCGCTTCGCCCCCGTCCAGACCTACTCGGCCTCCACCAATCCCTCGGGCCTCATCTCCTTTGGCAGCGCAAGCAACGCCCTCATGCAGCCCGCCGTCGCCGCCTTCGCCGCCACGGTCCCGCTCCCGCCCGACGTCTTCGGGTACGGCTACAGCACCGCCGGCGGCGCCCGTCTCCGCGCCGCGATGGCGGGGCATCTGAATGCCACGTTCAGTCCCCATACGCCGCTGGACATGGTGCATGTGAGGGTCGCGGCGGGGGCGACGGCCGTGCAGTGTATTCTCGCGTTTGCGCTTGCGTCGCCTGGTGAGGGTGTGTTGGTGCCGAGGCCGGTGTATGGGCGGTTCGAGCTTGATTTCGGGAACGAGATGGGGGTGGAGGTCGTGTATGCCGATACCACGCCCGAGACGTGTTTCCTGCCGGACGTGGTGATTGGGGAGATGGAGGCTGCGGTGCGGAGAGAGATGGGGAAGGGGGTAAGGGTTAGGGCGGTGATGATTGTGAATCCGAGTAATCCGCTGGGACGGTGTTACCCCCGCGAGACGCTTGTGGCGATTATGCGGTTTTGTGGGAGGCACAAGATTCATCTCGTCAGTGATGAGGTGTATGGGCTTTCCGTGTTTAGGTCTTGTGAGGAGATGCCCGAGTTCACGTCTGTGCTGTCTATCGACCCGGCGGGCATCATCGACCCGGACTTGGTGCACGTGGAGTACGGCCTGGCCAAGGACTTTGCGTCGTCGGGGCTGCGGCTGGGCGCGCTGGTGTCGAGAAACGCGGCGCTGCACGAGGCGTTTTCGAGCGTGGTGAGGTTTCATAGTCCTGCCGGGCCGTCCGTCGCGATTGCGTCTGCCATGTTTGAGGATCGGGTGTGGCATGATGAGTTTATTGCTAGTTCGAGGCGAGCCATCGCGGGCGCGTATGGATTTGTGACGGGGAGGTTGAGGGAGATGGGGGTTGGGTATGTGGAGGCGAATGCTGGGTTGTTTGTGTATATTGATCTCTCGCCGTGGTTGCCGCCGCCGTGGGAGGAGGGGGAATATGAGTCAGATCGGGACAGAGAGTTTGCGTTGGCGGAGAGGTTTGTTGAGAGGGGTGTGTTTGTACATCCGGGGGAAGAGCATTGTCTTGCGCCGGGGTGGTTTCGGTTGGTTTATACGCAGGAGGAGGATATCGTGGCCGAAGGGTTGAAAAGGTGAGTCTACGGGGAGACGTACTTGAGAACTTGGCTAACATGACTACAGAATCGACGAGACTTTGAAGAACCTGCCTTGGCAACTGTCACACTAGGCACCCAGACAACAGACAGAACATCACGCATTACGGAGACGATCAACACATAATCAGGGAGAAACGAATCTATGTCCATGTAAATGAGGGAGAAAAAAATGTACAGACGCCCCCAGAGGAGGGATTAAGAAATTAAGTTTAATTCATGTACACGCTTGAGGGCCATGACTCTTTGATATCATCGACCGTATGCTTCCGTCACGTCTTTAGGTTCTCCTAGACACTTCCACCTCTACTCTCTTAAAAGTGGTAGCGGCGGTTGAAGGTGCGGGGACCGCGGGGGCCACGAGGGCCACCACGGGGACCACCACGACCGGGGCCGCGGGGACGGCTGCCACCACCGGCGGAGGTCTGGTTGAAGGTCTCCCACTCGTAAGAGGCGAACATCCAGGGGCCGACGCCCTTGTAGTCGTTCATGGCAATGGGGACGGAGGTGTAGTACTCGAAGCTGGCGTTGCTCTTGAGGGAGCCGACCTCAACGGTGCCGTTCCAGTTGACGGTGCCGTTGGCGTTCTCGACGACAAAGGTGGTGAGCTCCTGGTAGCCCTTGGCGGCGGCGGGGAAGAAGCGGCGCTCGGGAAGGAGGCCGAGGCGGATACCCTTGAGCCAGGAGAAGACGAAGAGGGCGGAGGCGGAGGACTCGATGTAGTTCTTGGGGCGGCCGACGTAGGGGCTGTCCATGATGAGCCACCAGCCACCGGTGGTGCTGTCCTGGGCGTTCTTCAGGCCCTCGGCGAGGGTGACGAAGAAGCGGGAGAGCGTGGTGACGCCGGGGTGGCCGCGGGGGAGGAGCTCAAGGACCTCGAGGAGAGCGACGGCGTACCAGCCGACGGCACGGGACCAGGTGAGTGGAGAGGCGCCGGTGATCTGGTTGGCCCAGACGGCCTCCATCTTCTCGTCGAAGCCGTGGTACAGGAGACCGGTGGTGTAGTTGCGGGTGTGCTTGTCAATGACCTCGAACTGGTTGACAATGTCGTTCCAGGCGGTGGTGTTGTCCTTGTCGAAGAGGGAGGTCCACTTTGCGTAGAAGGTGTCGGCCATGAAGATGCCGTCGAGCCACATCTGGTAGTCGTAGTCGGGGCTGCGGTGGAAGAAGCCGCCCTCGTCGGTACGGGGGTGGCGCTCGACAAGCTGGTCGCGGATGGTTCTGGCGGCGGTCTTGTACTTCTCCTCACCGGTGCGCTCGTACCACCAGAGGATGTTGTTGCCGATACGGTACTCGTCCAGGGAGTAGGTGGTGGGCTTCCAGTTCAGGATGCTGCCGTTGGACTGGACGACGAGATCATCGATACGGCTGCGGTACCAGTCGACGAGGGCGTCATCCTTGGTGAGCTCGATGGCGGCCTCGAAGCCGTCGTAGAGGACGGCCTTGGTGTAGTGGTACGGCTTCTTGTTGTCGATCTCGTGCTTGGTGAACGAGTCGGCGGTCCAGGCGAGGTAAGGACCGGCGGCCGCCGCGGCGGTCGCGAAGAAGAGGACGGACTTCATTATGGACTTTGGTATGAGGGGTTTTGCTTTGCTTTGGGAGGTTCAAAAGAGTGACTATGTCGAGATTCGGAAATCACGACAGGAGGAGTGAGAAGCAAGCGGATGAAGGAGCCAGATCTGAGTCGCCAAGCTTCCTCAAAAGACGGCTAAGGCTGGGGGGAAGGGAGCTCTTTTTAATCCAAGATCGGATACAAGCCGGTTCGTCTGCGCCTCCATGTTTGCTGGAGAGCACCCGACGGGGGGGGGGGGGGGAGTTGCAACGGTGCAACGAAGGATCCATCGACGGGGTTCTGGGATGAGTTGGAGTGATTAGGGACGACAGTGGGGGGGTTGCGCTTATTGATCATCACCAGAATGATCAGATGGGGATAGCCAAGCAGAGCATGGCGACTGCGAGGACGAGGGGTTTGCAGATTGGAGCAATGAACAGCACTGGGCTTGAGGCCGGGAGATCAGGGAATCAGGGGTTGGAAGAAAGGCAGAGGATTGCCAAGTGGAAGCCAAGGGCAGAGCAGAAAATATCCAGGAACTAGAGATCCATCATGGTCATCTTGTTTCTCATCCCGCACCGCCCGCACCATGTCGGACAAGTCCACCGCTGTCGAAGAGGAATATGATGTGCTTCTATGCCCTGCCCAGTACTCTGCAAAGACAGATACGCCAGCGGCTATCTCGAGGTCGTCGCCAGCACAGTGGGAGCTTGTTTACGAGCCAGGTATCGTCGCATCCCACCCCCTCTACGGTTCATCTCCGCCTGCTTGGCCCGTTCTGGCGAAGAAGTGGATGGGATGTTGGACGGAGGATGGAGAAATAAGGTCCGGATCCAGTGAGCGATGAGAACGACGGTTGAGGCTCCCCACGTACGCGTCTTGGCAACGTCTTGGCACGTCTTGAGAAGATTGAAAGACGGCGGGCCTGCTTCGCTTCTCAAGTGCTACGCCGCTCCGTTGCTAGTCGTGCTAGTTAGTACCTGAGTATCCGTAGAGACTAGCTAGCATTCGTAAGAGCAGACCCGTCCGCAGTCCTAAGCGGCCCCGGGAGTTGCAGGGCGTTCACCTTCTCTATCAGTTTAAACTTATGGGTCCGTCGCCGCGGATAAAGGCCAACAAGTATTGACTTTCTTGGGCATTTGGACAATTGAGATGACCTTTGATCTTTTCTGCTAGGGCCAAGCCCGGGCGGGATATGCCCGACACTGGATGACCGTTGGAGTTGGCATGGACGAAAGGGAATTTGAGGAGCTCAAGACCACAATAGGCACAATTTTTGCGCGTGATGTGGGCACCGTCGGGGGCCCTGGACGTTGCGTTGCCAAGCTGCGTATTCGCTGCACCCCTTCATCTCAGAGCTCGCTCAACGGGATGGCCCCACGTCGGGTGCGACTCTTCAGCCCGCGCTCATTATCGATGTAAGACTGTAGGTAGGTTCGGGATGAGTGTTGGTCTTGCATGTTCTTGGCTTGTTTGGTTGGCCTCCTGGGCTGATGATTGATGGATCATGGAGCGCCCAGCCGGACAAATTCCCAATATGAAAATATTCGAAGAGAGATATTCGGCGACGCGGTGTGGATTGTGGACTCTGGCCGAAATGCGCTGCATGGGCATGAGTGAGCCTCCAACGACTGTTCTATTAAACAGTCCAACGGTCAAACAGTTCAAGAGATCAGCTTTTCTCGGCCGGCTGCAAAGATGCCTGGTATTTGATAACGATTGCGCAATATTTCATGGTCGGCCAAGTTCTGTTGATTCTTTTTTGAGAGCTTCCGCCGAATGGTCCTGTGAGTGGTCAAACAATCACTTGATCTCGCCGTACTATGATAAACTCCCTGCGTGTCTTTTCGCGCTGTTGACGCCGGCACGATGTTTAATGGATGAAATTGGCCATGGTATTTTAGCTTCATTGCCAAGACAGTCGCATCGAGGTGTTGAAGTAACCCTGCTGGGGACAGATGTCAGCAGCGATAAATCTGCGACACTTCCGAGCCAAACGTCGGCGCGATGAACCGGATCTCCAGTCCAGGGCAGAAAAAAAAAAAACAAAGAGCATGAAAGAAAATCAGCCACCCGTTCAGCAAACATGGCTCCCGTGCCGAATGTGACTTTGGCCGGTTGATTCCGAGAGAGCAGACCAAACACAATCTGGTCCATCGTGGCTCCAGTCTTCGGGAGGCGAGGTATGTCATTCAGGGGCACAGGGGCAGCAGGCTCGGTGTGTATCCGTACGGATACTGTGTGGTGAGTGTTCTGCGTGGCACGGTGGCAGTGATGTAATTCGCTTTCGTTCTGAGTGAACTCACTGCCCAGTGTCAATCTGTATAATCAGACAGAGCGAGGCGTAGTGGCGAAATCTGCGAGTCGCCATCTCCGCCAAGGAACTGAGTGGGTGGATTGGTGGTCTTTGCTTTTCCGTTCCCTCTCCTGTGAGTCTGATCGGCAGATAAGACGTTCTTGTCTTGAGTCGAGTGTTGGTCACGCTGTCTGTGGGTGAAAGTGAGATGTTCGTTAGTGCGCCAGCCGACTGCCTACCCGTCAAAGTCAAGACGACGATGGATTAAGCTCATATGGCGTCAAATAGCCGCCCCCGAGAGCCTGTTTTAACCTGAGATAAGCAAGCCGATGGGCTGTTCAAGGATCGCTCGATTGCTGAATTGCCTTGATTATGCAAAAAGGGCAAAAACGATTGCTTTTGCCGACGATAGAGTTTGAACCCAATTTGCCTAGGAAGCATGAGCCACATGGTGCAAGCCACCTGTTCTTGTGGCTTGACTACCTTATCGCCTTGTCTACAGGCGTGTGTGGCTGGTGACTGAGGTGGGGACGGACCCGAAGACCGCCCGCTTCATGCCCATCCGTATGCCAACCCTGATTGACTTCCTTGAGCGGGCCAGCTGCCTAGATATCTACATGGTGGGTCCTTTCATCCCAATTCCAGACTCTACACCGACTGTAATACACCTCCAGAAGCAACTACATGGCCAGCATCACCAGACGGGAAACCTCAAGTCTTCAACTCGATGGCTAGACTCCCCATTCAGCCACCAAGATTCTCCAATTGCCCCCCCCCCCCCCCCAAAAAAAAAAAGTGGTCATCATAGGAAGAAAAGTCGAGCAGAATTACGACCCAGGCCTAATTGTTTCCTATACCATCGTCTACTGAAACACAATCGGGTAAAAGCCTTGCTCGTAGGCTATCGTGTCTTCGAGACCATCCAGCGCTTCCTCAATTTCATCTGGAAAGTAGCCTCCTGACTCCATTTGTTCTGGGTTGAGTATCAAGTCGTCAGCCATTATGTAGTATTCACCCCTCGCCAGCTCCGTCATCCTATTCCACGGCCACTGAAGCAGCTACCACGTTGACTAGATCGTAGTACTCTGAGAATGGCGCCTCGCAAGAGCTAAAGGGAGTTGCAGCACGTAACTACTGACCTTGGATCGCGTCCATTATGTCATCTTCCAAAATGTCGTTGTCCATGTCATCGTCAATGTCATCGTCCATACCATCGTTCGAATCTTCGTCATCTTCTTCGTCCGACTCCGGGTTGCGCTTACGCTCGGGCGGGATATCAACCATGATTTGCTTAGCCAAGTCTCCCACAAAATGCCTCCAGTCGATGCCTGTGTACTCGCGTCTGCTCACAGTCTTGTCCGGCACCCCGTCTGTGGCTTGAACCCATACCCTGGCGCTCGTCATAGACATGCGCTGAGCAGGACAACCGACCATGATATGTTTCAGATCGAGGTTGGGGACGTCGCGCAGACTCTGGAGAAATCGAGCCCACATGTTGATAATGGAAATGTCGCCTCTCGCGTTATAGTCCCCTTGAACAGCTCCTGTACGGCTGCGGAGCGTGACCTTCCACAGCTCGAGATTCCTCAGTGTTGGTGCAAGCTTTCGCACGACTTGGAGAAGCCGCTTCGGCTCAACTTCAACGAAGCCCAAGTTGATCTCTTCCAGATGGGGAAACGCTACCGGAGCTGGAGGCATCTGCAGCTGGTTGTCGTCCGGTTCAGAATGAGCACCGAGGACAGGTGTACCCAGCCAGTCAATGAATTCATCAACAGCATCAGAGTTATGGCCTGGGTGCGCAAAGTTCAACCGTAGATGCTTGAGGTTCGGCATGTGACCCAAGAAGAGACGCAGGGAATAATCGTGTCGACGTCGTAGTTGAGTTCCCGCGCTGCCTGTGAGTGACGTAACTCGGAAGGGGCCGGTCGCTACGTTCACAACGCTCATAAAGGTCTCGATGCCCTCGAGGACCGGGACGACCTTGGGCTTGAGGTATTTGGTGAAGAGGTTGTAAGCGTCGTCAGAGGGCACGCCTTGCTGGTGGCGGAGCAGTTCGAAGGCACTGGGCCGGGCACCAGCATGACCAAGTGCGGTAAAAAGGGTGATGAAGACTTTGTTGGTGTAGGCGACCATCTCATCGATAGGTATGCGCAGAAGATCTACTCCGGTATCCTGGCGGAGTGTGGTGGCGCCGTAACTCGCCCAGCTGACCTCGAAGCCATCCCGAAAGCCCCTTCCCGCGGAATGGTAGTCACGAATGCCCACAGTTTTGAGGTTCTTGAGGTTTTTGAAAGCCTCCGTCAGCATAGCGACGTCTTGACCGCTGTTGACCAGGGTGTGGTGATCGGATTGGGCTTCGCGATAGCGGGTTTCCTGGGCTTCTTCTCCTGGGGAAAAGTAATGGCGTGTGAATGTATTAAGGCCGATGATGACATAGTCGAGACAATCACTCAGCCGCGACTTGCTGATGTCGATGAGGGTCTGTAGGCTGAATTCGGTGAGCATGAATTGGCGTTGAGCAAAGAACTCCTTCATGAACATATTGAACATGGACTGCTCTATGGACCTGCATGTCAGACGAAGGCTTCCCAGGTCGGGAGTTGACAATTGATCCGATATGCGAATGAGAACCTCGAGAGGCACTTTGTTGAAGGGCGATTTGGACTGAGGGTTTGCCGGCGCATCCATGACTGATATTGAAGGCTCTGATGCCGATGGCGTAGGCTGTGACATTGTGGGAGGGCGACGGCAGTGTGCCAAGGTATTGATGCACTGCTTCGTTCAAGGTAGAGAGATTCGAATTTGAAAATGAAACTGAAAACAGATGAGCTGAGTATTCTCTTTTCTAGAGAGTATTCTCTTTTCTAGAGAATAAACAAAGAGAATAAACAGAGAAAATCAAAGACGCGAGAAATACCAAGGGCAATGATACCTATCCTGCCAGCAGCTCCCGATAGTTGGGTCGATGGACGTAATGATTAGTATGGAAGTCCAATGAATCAGAGTGGGTGGGGCGAAGCTTCACGATCCAGGCAGAAGCGGGGAACTCGCAGGTGAGTTGCTGATGCTTTTCGGAAGTGTCAGAAGCGGGAAAGAATTGGCCGAGATTGAAAGATTCGCACAACTCAAAGTAATTCAGTACCAGTATACACGAGACAGGTACCTAGTTGCAGATGCCGGGCAGGAAGGAGCTGTTGCTGCTTCAGCCTTGCCAAATCCGATCGTTGCCTGTCGGTACCCGTATGCCGATACCCATTCTGGGTCGTTCCTGCCTAATGGTAGTCGAGTTCTGGAAGGTGACGTGCAGTATGAGGACGTCGCACAACTGTTGGAAGGTGCGACCAACGGCGCAGACTGCGTTGGGTTGTTCTTGCTGATTGGCTTGTGGCTGTCCTAGTCTGCCCTTTTTAGGGAGCTTGTTCGCCGGAAAGCTGCTGTAAGGCATCATTAAGTTTGGTGCCTCCAGTCTGGCAATGGAAGCTGCGTCCAATTGGCAAGGGCGACCACAGTGACATTCAAGATTGACATGGAAGAAGCTTGGGCCATCACCCACCTGCCCTCCCACCGTAGGCACGGGAGCAACTCCATCCGGCAGCGCACCTTCCATTGATGACTTGGGAGTCGATTCGGATACTTCAGATGGCAAACTTGAGGTACACTGCAATTTGAAGCCAATACCTTGCTCCAGGCAGGAGCTCCTCTAAAACTGAAAAGCGTCTCCAGGGGAGAAACATCGTCAAGTATCTAGGTACCTTGATTGGCACCTAGAAGTGGTTGACAGTGAAGTACTCCGTTCCTAGTGGTGGTACGGCGGTACCTTGATGTTGAGACGGCACGTGAACTCGCGAGGACCTCGAGCAGTCGCGGTGGCTCGTGCGCCAGGCACCAGCGGCGTTGGTGCCTGCAGGACCATGTTGGTTCGTCCAGAAGGAGCTGAAAGCGTGCGGCACCTTCCACCCAGGTCCCAAGGCACTAGGTGAGGTAACTCCAATTGGCAATGAGCTGACTTGTTTTTCTGATCCAAAGTCAAAGGAGGCACAGCGAAATAAATCATCTCGACTCCCTTTCATCTTTTCGTCTTTCATCTTCACTTTCTTTTCCATCTTAGAATCTCACACAACCACCA